CGTCATCCCCCTCTTACGCACACTCCGACTACTCCAGGATTCTGCCAATCGCCCAACACGTCCACATCCAGCCTTGGCTCAGCACATAAGCACTAGGTCGGGCCTACATGCTGCTCCTTCCTTGGCCATAATAAACACCAAGCCAGGGGTTTGCGCCACAGCACTTGGGCTCCTACATGTGCGAGTGTGAACCTCACAGGGCTCCGCCAGTGATACTCAGGCCAGCAATATCCGCCCAGCATCCCTCAACCGTATCAACTTCAGGCAGATTATACATTAACCACAGAAGGAGCGAAGGAGCGAGCTTCATGGCTGTGAGCTTGGTTTGCTTGGTTTGCTTGGGTCGTCTGGGCTTCATGGTCAACGCATTGTCACGTAGCGTGCCAGGATGTCCAGCAAACAACAGTTACAATAAAAGGAAGCTATAACTATATGAAAAATTCAGTTCTGGCGTGTAAGAACTCAGTTCTGGCTGTTCTACACCATGTACACGGCGTACAACACATTCGTGCCACACATTTTCGCGACAAGTAAATAATTTTCTCCATAGAGCTTTTTCCACTGTGACACACTTCGTGGCCCAAAACGAAAGGTGTGGAGCGAACCTTTCGTATCAGTACGGTACTTTACCGTGTCGCTAGCCAGGGAACGAGCCGAAACTTGACCAGGTCTGCGTAAACTTTTCGTAATCGGGAGGCGCTTTGCGGAAAGGCTGCGGAAACTGCGGAAACCTGCGAAAACTATAAAATGAATATGTAACGATGTTTTCTGGCTCTTCTCAGTGTGGCGATAACTTGGACAGTCTGAAACCATCTTGTGGCAGTGCGGTTCTGTCCGGTGGGATCTAGAATCTGGTGGATTCCAATCGTGCTCGAAGGTAGAGCCATCTAAACGTATTACTGGAGTGGCGGGGGCCCAGCGATCAACTATTGTGTGCCCACACCCTTGACGGTGTTCACTCTGCCCCCTTCAAGCAGCCCGCCTCTCTTTGAACCCTGAGACCCCAGGCCTGAGCAGCCCTATCGTATACCACCCCCATAGTGTTGTTGGCTGACGGATTGCTCTGGGATGCTCAGATTTTGCCACTCGTATGTTACATGGGGTAAGGTAGAGCCATCTAAACGTATTACTGGGGGTGGCGGGGGCCCAGCGATCAACTATTGTGTGCCCACACCCTTGACGGTGTTCACCCTGCCCCCTTCAAGCAGCCCGCCTCTCTTTGAACCCTGAGACCCCAGGCCTGAGCAGCCCTATCGTATATCACCCCCATAGTGTTGTTGGCTGACGGATTGCTCTGGGATGCTCAGAAATTGCCACTCGTATGTTACATGGGGTAAGAGCCCGGGGAGCCCTGAAACACTGAATAATAATCGTCTCCCTGTCCGTTGCGGAGCAGCGACATGTCTGCATGCCTACTCCACATACCCGTCCGGCATGTCTGCAAGTCTTAAGTGTATGCTGAATGTACATGAATCCAAACCCGCCCAAACAATATGAATTCAAAATAAATTCAGGCGCAATGGCAGTGCACTCCTTGGCAAGGTGTAACCGGATTTCAGGAAGGCGCGCCCGTTTCCAGTGGCGACGGCAGCGCTTGCAGGTGGCATAACAATTCTTACTCTTGTCGTAAGGACCTCTATCAAAATGTTTCCAAACGTCGTCAACGGGCCTTCCACCCTTCTTCTGAGCAGAAACACAGTCAATCTCTATGACTTCGGCACCCCCCAGGTCGGAGCCAGTGGTTGTTGACATTTGACTTAATCTAACAACTCCTTAGTGTAAAACGCAGTCTGTAAATGGCAAACGCATGCCTAGAATCTGCTTTTGAATTTCCGCCGTACAGCAAATGCGGAAATGCGGATTCTCTTTCCGCATTTCCGCCAATCTGGGCTTCGCTGCGGAAAGCGTGACGAAACCTATTTACGCAGGTTTCCGTTTACGCAGGTTTCCGTTTCGGCTCGTTCCCTGTCGCTAGCGCGCCACAAGCGCAAGCCATGGACCAGGAGGCCCAGGAGGCCCAGCTGATTGTCCATCTTTCAGAAGCATTTAATAAGGACGAGGTGTGGCAGCTGGCCGCTGCAGAAGCATTGAGCAAGGCCACGAATCTGGAACGTGTGCTAATTCGCGGTAGCACAGCGGCCAAACAGCTGAAGCTCGTGGATGTGCTTATCCGTAAAAGTAGGTCATGCACTGGGAGCTGAGAAGGCTTGATTGGTGTGTCGGGAGGCTCTGCGTCGCTGGCTGAGTGGGAGGGTTCTCGTGCCTGAAGCTTGAAACAACTCGTAATCTACATGGGTCCCCCGACCGCTCCCATGTCCTGCAGCCTCGGCGGCTGGCCTCGGTGCGGGGAGCGCGGCTGGAGCCGGTGAGTTGGTTGTGCTAGCCCAGGCTTGACCTGAGCTAAGACTCCGGCTCTGGGGTCCCGCGGCGGTGTAGTACGGAAGTGTTTGAGCTATCGTGAACAGCGCTGCTGCTGGTGATCATTTCAAGAGGCTGTAGGGTGAGCAACCGCACATTTGTAGTTCTGAGTTCGGAGCGCACCAGCCCCATGTGAAGCATTCCGGCATGTTGCGATTGAATCCCCGATTGCGCAACCACCGCCTCTGTCTCTTCAGGATACAGCTTGATGTGCAATAATCCTGACCTGCATACATGTGACGTTCTCGTCATGCAGGCGCGGCGGCAGGGCCGGGCCCCGGGAGCACGGCAGCTGACGGTGAGACCCCATCTGCATTGCAGGGCCACTAGGCCTGGCGCTCGTGGGAAGGGAACCGATCCTCAGGGGGAACGATTGGGGTTTGGCTGAACGCTTATGGCATTAAGACGGGTGAGGCCAATTCGAGGCTCGTCTGCCCCCCGCTACGGAAGCAAGGAAAGAAGCGGGCCTTTGCCGGGGGTGCAGAGGCCGTTGCTGGGGGTGCTGGCCTCTATATCGGAAGGGCAGCAGCGAGGCCGTCGCGCGGTGGGGCGGGTGGGTCGTTGCTTGGGGCTGTGGGGTGAGCTGGTTGCGCCCACTCGTGTTGGGTGCGTGCTGGGAGCTGTAAGAGGCGGCAAGGGGCGGCTGGCGGGTGGCGGGCCTGGCCCCAGCACCCGCCCAACACCCGCCCCAGGGGAGCTCGCATAGAGCGCGCCAGCTGTAGGCAGGTTGGGGTGGGTGGGCGGGGCGCTCGCCCGGGCATGGCACGGTGGGTGCATGGGCTGCAGCGCGGGCCTGGGCCCCGGCGCCTATGCTGTACTGCAAGTCAGCTGGAAGTTGTTCCGTCCGTCCCTTTCTGCTGCTGCTCTGTACCCGTTCGTTCCCGCGTTGGTTGCGTTAATAAGATCCTGCATGCATTTCAACTGGGCGACTGGCCGTACTGACTAGCAAGTCCAGCTGCCAAGTTGGCTGGATCACGGGGTGCTAGCGACGGGGGGCACGGACATGGCCGTCCACTCTCTGTGCTGTTGTGAAGAAGCATATGTTTCCTCTGTATTCCATCTATGTGTGCATTTTGCCGAGCTAATTCTGATCTCAAATACATGCAGGGGAGGACATGTCAGAGGCATATTTCCAACAGCTGCTACAACCAATTTTGGACGTGCCCCCACGCCTGGAAGCACTCTCGGCAGTTACACGTTCCAGCCTGTTGGGCCTGCGATTGTGCAGCCCTGTGTGACAGCACACTCTTTCTCTACCATAAAGGGGCGGTTCAGTGTTCTGCATGACATACACCCTCTTGCTACTGAGGGGTGTGACTTCTGGCTTGATTCAGCTTGAAGTTGCTTCGTCACTTTGCTGCTCTGCACCCCTTCGTTGTGATCCTGCATGCATTGCAACTGGGTGACAGCGGCTGGTTGTTTAATGTGTATGCGCCTTGTGGGCATGATGGGCTATCCTTCTGCAGGCCTGCCAGCTTGCAAGCTGCAGCTCCGGCAAGACTCGCAGAACCAGGACCTGTTCTTCTTTGAGCCCATGGACACTGTCAGTGCTGCAGCTGCCACAAGTGCTGGCGTGAACAGCATGTTCTTCCTGGACCCCAAGGGCAGGCAGATAGCTGAGCTGAAGAAGTGGCTGGACCTTGCCGAGGATGAGTACTGTATGGGGAGACCCATCCGGCCGCTGTTCATCAACGGTCTGGTCAAGGTGGGATATAACGGCCTGACCAAGGACGGAGAGCTCCTTGTGCAGCTTGTGTCCAACCCACATGAACAGGGTTGGAGTGAGAAGAT